ACCCTTCCTACCTGAGATGGAAATGATTGAATTGGCTGTGTTCACAAGCCTTTTTTCTTAGGTTAAATGGATACGTTTTCACCGTTACTGAATTTCACTTCCTTAGAAAGCTGTTTATGAACAGAGCGAGGTTACTTGACAAGTACCAGTTTGTTGAAATCTGTGCAGAATGCTGTTTAACGCTCCAATGCCAGGAACACAACTGGTGCTCTGTAACTCTGTGATGAATACACGATGGGCTGGCTAGCTAGCTAGATGAATCGGAACCACTATTATTTGATGCTCAGACAGCTGTGTACCTATAAAATGCAAGTATAGTACAATCATCATATGGGGCAACGATGTCTCCAAAGAAACAAAATAACACCTCTGGAATACTTCTACAGGTTAGAGAGATTTCAGTTCCTGACTGAAATGTATTCTGTATCAACACTTGGACTTCACTGCCTGCTTTTATCACAGTTAATCCATAACGGACTGCAGCTAAGCCCCAGCTCTGTATCAGGTACAAACGAAGATAAACCAAACTCTCTGTTCTCAGAAAGCCTTCATCTGATTCCGAGTTGTACAGGCCAGAGGCACGGACACAAACCCCCATGTGTACACAGCTCCAGGCAAGCTCTGCTGCTAACGGTCTCACACCAGCCTCTCAAATGTGCTGGAACGCGTGCCACCAGGCCGAAGCACAGACAGCACCAAAACATGGCATTCAAAAGCAAAGAGACACTAAGCGCCACACATGAGACTATTTGGGAATTAGGACATTATAGGACAGCAGGAGGACATGGCTTAATTCACACGGAAACATTACATGACAATTACGTTTACTAAAAATGCAGGTTTTTCCGAGGAAGCAGAAAATCCATAAACACAATCAGGTGGGTGGAAAGTCCTGCCTCTGCAAAAATAAGGCAAGTTTCATAGCTAAAGCTTGGCTTTCTTCATGAGCGGGTGGGTGGCACTCGTGCTGAAGACACATCTCAATGCAAAGTTATTACCAGCACAACTAACAACCAGCTACCCACCCAAACAAGCGTTTGGAGGCTTGGTGTGAAACTCACAAAATATTTGGATGACTAAATGCTACTGTCAGATTTCAAAGAGACACTTAAACACATTCTTGTAGCAAATTTACTTCCACTCTTCATTTTAAAATAGCAATGAAAAATACCAGTAACAAGTTATTTGAAGGACTATAAACTTTTTCAAATGAATTTTCATAAAATTAAGGTATTCATCAGCTGAATCTTTTAATTAATTGGTTGGAAATTTTCAGAGGCATCCAAAAAAGTACCTCCTTACATCAATATCTAAAGGGTGCTCCAGTATAATTTTGTGCTGAACTATCCCTTTCCCTGGTTTCTCAAATATATCTACTACAATAGTATCAAAATATTCGATTGCATAGAAAGAAACCCATCGCATAAGTCAAAGAGAAAGAGGACCTGCCAGATAAAAAATTTATTGAAAATATGAAAAATTTAAACCAGGCTAGTATTAAATAGATCTATCACCTCACTATGCTGAGAACTTGAGAAATAAATGAGATAATGCAAACTTGAAAGCATAATGGATGAAAAATTAGAAAGCAAATACAAAGTCTTTCTTCTCTCAATAAATGAGCTCACCAGGGATCAGAAAGGAGAGGTTTTTCAAAGCCAGAGAAAGGAAACTGCCTCAGGAAACCCATCGCAGTCCCCTTCCTCCGCTTTGGGAGAAAAAACACAGTTGTATCATCATAGACTTTCGGCTAACATATGCTAAACAGGCTGCAACAATACAGGCCGACCTGAGCACAAAGGGTGTCTGTCCCTCCTCACACTGAGATTACAGTAAACCACACAGATTTTCTACTGCTTTATCTATCTTCCTGGATGAAGAACACATAACTGGAATTCAGGATGTTTCAATTCTTGGATTACTTACTAAGTCGTAAAACCAGTGAACACCAACATAAATGAGATCTGACCTTATAGGTGACTGTTAGGGGAAACACGATGTAAAATTCACAACCTGAGGCCAGAATCGAGCTGCGAGTGGTAGAGGTAACAGGACGCGCGCACACACAGTGATGGTTGATTCTCACATACGTGCCAGGCATTATGCTTAAAGTTTTACATACAGGTTTTCATTTACTCCTACAATTCTATGAAGTGGGTACAGTTATGACCCCTCCTTTCACAAATGAGGAAACTGAGGCGTGAAGAGGGTTAAGCAACCTGCCTAAGGTCACACGGGGTCGCAGGTGGTAGGGCTGGGATTGGAACGTGTGCGCCCAGGGTCTGGATCTTCTCCAGTTCACAAGACTGCTATGTGGAGAAGGGCCTCCTCCCTTAGGAGAAGGGGTGTGTTGTCAGAGGGGCCACTGGTTTAGAGAAGTTTCTTCCCAGGGATTACACCACTGCCAGCGGGGTCAAGAACAGGCAAATTGGAGGAAAAACAAAACAAAACTTTATCTCTCCCTCCCCCGATTCCACTGGAAGAGAAAGACAGTTCCATAAATCAGTTTCCAGACATTTAAGACGATGTACCTGGCCAACATTCAGGCTAGTAAAATTCTAGGTAGTGATAAAATTTAGTTATCATGCAAAAAATTTCAATTAAAAACTTGTCTCCTTGCTTCTGGCTCAAAGAGTATTAGAGGCATTTTATGCACTGTTGGTGAGATTTTGATACAACCCTCTTTGAAGGCAATTTGGCAACATCCATCAACATATTAAGTGCACATACCCTCTGACCAAGCAACATAATTGCTAGGAATGTATCCTAGAAATATTCCACGCAAGGACTCTTGCAAGTTGCAGCATGCGCTATAGCATTGTCTGTAACAGCCCAAACACTGGAGGCCATCTAAATGCCCACCAGTGAGGGCACTGGTTCGACACTAAGTGCACATTGGAATCCTAGGAGGAGGGAGCTTGGTACATACCAACGTGGCATGATCTCCAAGGTATGCGAGGTGAGAGCAAATATTATGGTGCATGTTTAAATTAAAAAAAAAAAAATTATTGGGCTGGCCAAGTGGCTTAGTTGGTTAAGAGCACGAGCTCTGAGCAACAGGGTCACCGGTTTGATTCCCACGTGGACCCTCTGCCTCTCCCTCCCCCTCTCTCTCCCCCCACCCCGCCCACTGAGCTGCGCCAGAGCTGAGCTGCAGGTGAGCTGCCAACAGGTGGCAGGATGTCTCAGCTGGTGAGAGCACGTGCTCCTAATAACAAGGTTGCCAGTTCGACTCCCACATGGGATGGTGGGCTGTGCCCACCCGCAACTAAGACTGAACATGACATCTTGAGCTGAGTGGCCGTGAGCTGCCAATAGGCGGCTGGATGGCGACTGGACTTGGAGCTGAGCTAGCTGCACCCTTCACAAATAAGACTGAAGGACAACTTGGCTGTTCCCCTTCCCTAATTCCCCAATAAAATCTTAAAAAATTATTACAGTAAAAGACACATTGCCATTAATTCCCCTCAAAATACTCCCCCTCGGGCCGGCCAAGTGGCTCAGTTGGTTAAGAGCTCACTCAAAGGTTTGAGCTCTGAGCAACAGCGGTTCGAGTCCGGCCCGAGCTGAGCTGCCACTGAGCTGCCAACAGGTGCAGGACGGCTCAGCTAAAAAAAATAAAATAAAAAAATACTCCCCCTCCTTTGAACACACTTATCCCATCATTCTTGCCACTTTCTGAAGCAGTTCTGGAAGTCCTCTTTCATGAGTGTCTTTAGTTGTGCTGTCGTGGCTGCCTCAATGTCCTGAATCAACTCAAAATGTTTACCTTTCATGGTCTTTTTGACTTTGGGGAAGAGCCAGAAGTCGCACGGTGCCAGGTCCGGTGAATAAGGTGGATGAGGACACACCATAATGTTTTTATTTGACAGAAATTGCCATATACTAGAAACAATGAGTGACACAGAGCCTTTTCGCTGTGATTAAAAAAATATGGTGAATGCTGCTGCTGCGTGCCATCCGATGGAAATGCAGGGGTCTTCAATATGGGAAGTGGTGCATCAAACATTAGTAACAGTGTGTGACAAGTTCAACTTATTTGGTGCAGTCAGTCGTGTGTGAGCTAAAGCTGAGAGAAGGTGTGTTTTAAAGTGTGCCAAAAATCATCCTCCATCATGACAATGCTCCGTGTCACACATCATTTCTGATACGGCAATTTCTGTCAAATAAAAACATTGTAGTGTGTCCTCATCCACCTTATTCACTGAATCTGGCACTGCGCTACTTCTGGCTCTTCCCCAAAGTCAAAAGGATTCAGGACATTGAGGCAGCCACGACAGCGCAACTAAAGACACTCACAAAAGAGGACTTCCAGAACTGCTTCAGAAAGTGGCAGAAAGATGGGATAATTGTGTTAGAAGTGAAGGGGAGTATTTTGAAGGGGATTAATGGCAATGTGTCTTTTACTGTAATAAATTTTTTTAATTTAAACATTTGCCATATTGTTTTATCACACCTCATATTATTAAATATAAACGTTGGGTACAGAACAGTATGTATACTGTGATCTCATTTCTACAAAGATACGTTTTTTTGTGTGTTTTTTGTTTTTTTAATTTTTATTTATTTATTTTGAGCTGAGCCATCCCGCCACCTGTTGGCAGCTCAGCGGCTGCTCAGCTCGAGCCGGAACTCGAACCGCTGTTGCTCAGAGCTCAAACTCTTGAGCGAGCTCTTAACCAACTGAGCCACTCGGCTGGCCCCAAAGATACGTTTTTAAGTGCACCTATATATGCATTAAGTTTTTCTAGGTGGATACCTAAAAACTATTAATTGTTTCTTTTGTGGAGTGGGACTGGGGGAAAGGAGGCGAAAAGAAACAATTACCTTTTCATTTTATATCCTTTTGAAGTATTTGAATTTTTATACCATGCCAAATCTATATTTTCTGAATACATCTTAAAAATATATCAGAGAGCTTTGATTTTTTAATTGGTTTCTAAAAATTAAAAACTGATGTTCTTTTCTGTAAACTGCAACATCTTGCTATTTTTTTGTACCTTGTTTCCTTCGTGAACCCATCCCAGGCTCTTCACTCCAAAAGCAGCCTGGTTGGCTGAGACATCTAGGCAGGTGACAGGTTGGCCATAGACGTAATGGAGAGTTCTGGCAGAGTCGTCAGCCTTTAGCAGGTACACCAGGTCTCCAGCAGTGGCTACTGCCACAGGGTACCTTCCGGTATCCGGAACTATTTCAAGGTAGTCAACCTGGGAAAGGATAAGACGTGTTTAGTCCTTCAGGTCCCAACTACGATTCATTCTGACTTGGTCAAAAAATATACAGTTGCTTCTACATATCAAAGAGAAGACAGACCAGCAACCCCACAGAAAAAGATAGGCAAAGGGGCAGTTCACAGGAAGTGAAACACAGTTCCTACACAAATGAAAAGATGCTCATCATAAAAGAAACACAATAGAATCCCAATAAGAGGAATACAAAGTAAAAATCCACTAAGATACCCTTTTTACCTGTCCTATCAGTAAAGAGGAAACAGTTTGGTAAGCGAAGGGGAACAACCACATGTGTGGGTCCCACTATGGCTGGTGGGATGGAATTGGCCCAACTTCTATAGAGGGAAATCTGGCAACACTTATCACAGTGTCAATGCACGTACGCTCTGACTCAGCAAGTCTCTTCTCGGAACTGCAAATAAACTCACATTTATGCAAAACGACTGTGTACAAGGTTATTTGCTGTAGCACTATTTTGTCATAGCTAAAAACTGGAAAAAACGAAACATGAGCTACTAAGGGACTAATTAAATAACTTACAGTACATCTATGCATTGGAATACCATGCAGTCACAGAAAAAAAAGCATGAAGACGTTCTTTATGAGCTGATACAAATGGGATCATCTCTAAGGTAAATATGCAGGAAAAAGCAAAGAAGCAAGGTAACGGGGTCCACGGTGTGCTAACATGTGCAAGGTGGGGCAGAGGAAGCGGGGATGCACTTGGCTTGTATGTGCATAAATCTTTGAACAATGACTGCCTTCAAAGAGGGCAGGGAGCTGTGAGATGGAGTAGAAGTGAGACTTCTCACCATAAACCTGAGTTTTTAAAATTCTGAACAATGAGGGTGTAATAACTATTCAAAAAATATACGGTTTTTTTTTACTAGGCACTGAATAAAATTCACTCAGCTCCAAATGAGCAAAAGTCACATTTTAACATTTGTGCAAATACCAACAATGTGTTTTCAAAAGGTTAAAAGGATCTGAGTTGTCTGCTCTCTCCTGGTTTCAATGTCATGGCGAATAGGAAGGCTGCTACCAGCAGCACTTTTACACCTCACGGTACTCTTGACAGCAACATTGATACCACTGTCTCTAAGCTGCTGGTGTGTGAGGAGCTCCCTTCAAGAATAATTTCCTTTTCTTTTCTTTTTTTTTTTTTTTTAAAGATTTTTATTGGGGAATTGGGGGGATGGGAACAGTGCTGGGGAATTGGGGGAAGGGGAACAGACAAGTTGCTGTCGTTTTTGTTCTTCAGTCTAGTTGTGGAGGACGCTGCCTCACTGGCGCAAGTTGGCACCATCATTGCGCTCTTCCCGGGCGAGGCAGATCAGTCGCCGGCTTCTGGACGGCCGCTCACTGCAGCTGCTGGCCGCTCACGCTGGCTGCTGGCTACACACGGCAGCCCATGGCAACCCACTGCCACAGGGGCTGCAGCCTCCGCCGTCGCCAGCGACTCACAGCTGCCCAGCTCCAGGTTGAGCTGTTGTTCAGCATCTTAGCTGTAGAGGGCAGTGTCACTGGCCCTCATATGTGGGATCCGAACCAGGGCCCTCTGGTGTCCCAAGCCAGTTCTTAACCATCGCGCCACTCGGCCGGCCCAATAATTTCCTTTTCTAGATCCCTAAGTGGCACATTTCCCCCCGAGTGCAGTTTACAACTGGTTTTCAGCTCCTTGAGTAAATCCTGAGTGCAAAAACAGAGGGGGAGCCACGCTGGGTGATTATGAAAATCCGCGGTGTAAGAGGACAGCACTGCCCTGACAATAAGCCAAATGAGTCCCAAAGCCTGAGGCCTGAGGGCGTCCAGAGGAGCTTCCCACAGTCAACATCTGGGTGACTCCGCTCATCCTTGGGCCAGCAGCGTGAATGGCGGCCCAACATCCAGAGCTGAGGGCCCATCACAAAGGACGGATGTTCTAGACTCATGTGACAAACATGGGAACACTGCCACTGCAGTTTAGGGAGCCGATCTGCGGCAGACAGAAAGGGCCCAGCTCTCCGGGCTGGGGGTGGGGGGGCTGTTCCAGTGCCAGCGTAGTCTGTGGCAAGCCCTCATCCAGGGTGAGAAATAATACATAAAAGTGTTAGAACGCATGCCTCCAGCAGCGGTGGCTTGCTGCCTCTCTCTTGTCTAAAAACCACTTCTTATTTTCCTAAAATCGACATCCTCAGTCTAGCAATTAATTTCATCTTCATGTTGGATTTTGGACAGGCTGAGAGGCTCAGATTGACAGTGGCTGTGCCATTTGCTGGGAGCTGTAAAACGACTTCAAAAGGCTCCCAGTCTGAGCCAGGATGTCGCCTTATTGCCAAGGCAGAATTTACATTTTAGAGAGGGACTCACATCTTAAGTAACTGTCTAACTTCGTATAATTACTGCTGGTCTGCAGTGTTCTTTAGTTAGAAACCAGATAATAAGCACTATGGTAGTTTCGAAAACAAACAAATATGGTACTTTCACATTTTTCTAATAAAACCCAAGATGGGATAATAGCCTCAGGCAGCTTTGGGGGAACACGAAACCCAAACTGCAGACATCTGATCATTAAAGGGACAAGACACTTATGGAGGTGAAGCAGTGACACCACGGCTTTTCTGCTTTTCCATTCTAACAAGATTCCTACCGGGAGGAGAAGGGACAGGAGGACTTGTTCCCAGTCAGGCCATCAATTCATTATTCAATGTCGGCCCATCCGTTCCCTCTCCTACTGGTGCCAAAATCGAGTGTGTTTAAATTAAATTCGGATTCAGCACTGACAAATTTGGGCCCTTCCTTCTTACCACCAAATCATCTCTCATACAAATGCAGAGGCTCATGTGCACCTGAATTCAGAAAGCAGCTCTATGTGAAGAGCTCTCGAGGTCCGCTAGGCTTCGCAACGTGCCGTCCTGGAACGTGGCTACCCACTTATCACTGACTTAATCTATTTTCACGCAGGAGCTACTCTTCATTCCAGGAGAGGAAATCTTGGGATGAAGAAAGTTGAGGATGGAAACCTTCCATCCCATACGGACTGGGATGACACCGCTGGACTCGTTTTCATGTATATATCAGGCCAGAAGCTGACCTAAGGTTTCCAGGGGTGAACGGCCCTTCATGTGAAAGAGGCTGAGAAACTCTAGCCCTGAAGTCGGCCCTAGGGTTTGAATCACTCTTTCTTAGCTCTGAGACGGGACAAGTCCATTCACTGCTCTAAGTTTCTACTGGCTTCTCAGTAAACAGGGAACACGACAGATAGTACCTCATTTGCAAGGCTGTAGTGACATTTAGGGATGTGAGGCCCACGGGAAGCCCTGAGGAAACAGGAGCTGCCAATATCATTCCTATTTGTTTATATTAGACCCAGAGCTGCTAAGAATGAAAAATAAAATGCTCAGATGGAAAGCTCACCAGTTTCTGAACTTCAAATTCTGCAGCTATCTGCAAATGGCCCTTCTCATTGGGGTGTAACATGACAACATCAAAAGCAGAAGCTGTGGCAATGGTTGCATCGTCCGGGCTGAGGGCCAGTGCCTGTATTCTTGCATCATGCTCAAAGCGATGGATAGGGTACTTTCCAGTCCTTAGATCCCAAATATTAAGAACGCCTATGTAGAAAACACAATGCAGGTAACAATTTAAAATTCACTTCATATGCGGAGTTACAAAATAATTGTTCAATGTAAAGAAAATTAAAAGATAAATGATAAAATGTTAAAAAAATATTTGCATCACATGAAACAAAGGGATCATTTCCATAATACATAAAGGGTTTCTAAGAGTCAATAAGAATAAAAAGCAGCTGAAAAGTGAGCAATGGACATGAGCATGCTGTTCACAGAAAAAGAAATACAACTGACATATAAACATAAGAGAAAATGTAAAAATTCACTCACAATTAGAAACATATAAATAAAAGTTATAATACCATTTTTTTATCAATCAAACTCACAAACAAAAAATTTCATAAAATATTTTGTTGTTGAGAATATGGGGAAAGAGGCTCTCTCTTAAATTGTTGGTAGGGATGTAAACTAATCCACCCACTCTGAAGGCAATTTGATGATATTTACCAAATTACAAATGTATATAGGCTAGTCACTGTAATGTTTTTAATTATGTCAAAAGATTGAAAGTTACTTAAATGTCCATCAGTAGAGAGCTGCTTAAATAATGCTACCTAGGAAGTTTGGAATTTAACTAAAATGAGCAGTTAAGAGAGTCAGCCTTATAAATAAGCTATATGAAATGATCGCCAAAATATATTGTTAAATGAAAAAACTAAAGGACAAAATAGTGGTATAGTATGCTACACTACTTTTGTGTTTTAAAAATTTAAACACACACACGCGCGCGCGCGCGCGCACACACACACACACACACACACACACACACACACACACACGGAATACCCTGGTAGGACACACAAGAAATTGTTAATGGGGACTAGCCTCTCTGAAAAGAAACCACAAGAAAGGGACAAGAGTAGGAGGGACATTAACTGTATAGCAACTTATACATTCTGACATGTTTTCCAGAAACTATCTTCACCAAAAAGATATTTAAAAAAAAATGTTTTTATGAGAGTGACCTAACAAAAATGGGAGTACATATGTTTCTTTTTCTTTCTTTCTTTCTTTTTATTTTTAAGATTTTTACTGGGGAAGGGGAACAGACAAGTTGCTGTCCTTTTGTTCTTCAGTCTAGTTGTGGAGGACATTGCTTCACTTTCCCATGTTGGTATTATCATTGCACTCTTCCCGGGTGAGGCAGATCTGTCGTCAGCCTCTGGACGGCCGCTCACGGCGGCTCTTGGCAGCTCACACCAGCTGCTGGCCACTCACACTGGCTGCCGGCCACACATGGTAGCTTATGGCAGCCCACTGCAGCAGGGGCTGCAGCCTACGCCGTCGCCGGCGACTCACGACAGCCCAGCTCCAGATCGAGCTGTTGTTCACCATCTTAGCTGTCGAGGGCAGTGTCACTGGCCCCCATGTGGGATCCAAACCGGGGCCCTGCTGCTCAGAGCTGGCGTCCCAAGCCAGCTCTTAATCAACGCGCCACTCAGCCGGCCCAGTACATATGTTTCTTGCTGCGTAGTTTTAACACATGGAGTTCTTAACTCATTCTTCTATCTGTCCACTCATTCATGCAACAAATAAGCACTGAGCATTTGTTCTAGGCCAGGCACTGCTATTCTGGATGCTAGCAATACGTGGAAACAGCACTAACCCACACTCAAATGGTTCTGATAAGTGCTGCACAGTCTTGCTCACCAGCACCCTCTTCTAGCCCCAGCTGGCAATGGTGCTTCATTACGCATCGTTGTAAACGTGACCTTGACTATCCCACACTTGTTAAAAACTCCGATGTTACTATACACCCTTCTCCCCAGCACCTTGAATGCTGCTGCCCGGATGAATTCCTCTCACACACTGGCCATGTCTCCACCTTTCCTGAATTGTCTACAGCAGTTGTCCCCAGTGTGGTCCCAGGACCAGCAGCATCGGCACATCTCCTGGGAGCTTGTTAGAAATGCAAATTCTCAATCTGAACAAATGCTCAAGTTTAACAACCAGTGGTCTACAGGAACTTAAACTTTTCTACTATATATATACACACTTTTATGTATCTGGAATGCCATTTATACTTTTTTTCTCACCAAATATTGGGTTGTCGGAAAAGTCATGACACATTTTTGCAACACAAAACATAGAAAAATACGTCATGACTTTTCCGACAACCCAATAATTTCTTTTTATCATTCCTATCCACTAAGCGACTTCTTTTCCCTCAAAGATTTGCCCAAGAAAACAATTACTTTCTGCACATGCTGGAGATAATGTTCTGTTCCAATTCCAACTCATTTTTCAAAATTCACTGAGAAGGAATTTGTGGCGATAACGTCGTCTGCGGCTATGTGTTCAAGTTCAAATCCAGCTTCACCGCTTGCTAGCCAAGGGCCCTAGGCAGGCTACTTAAAGTGAGCCTGTTTCCTCATCTGTAAAACTGAAGATAACATTACCTACCACACGTACTGCTGGGCAAATTAAAGGAGATAAACCATATAAAATGCTGGAGACAGACTCCTCAATATAGTTTCATGTATTCTTTCATTCCTGCTGTGTTATAAAGCATGTTTAATCTAGTAACAGCACGAATTTCTTCCCAACTGCTCATCCATAAATCCAGTCCTAGTTCTATAACTTCCTGTTACCTAAGCTTTTTCATTTTTCTTCTCTTTGCAATCCATCTTCCCATCTTTCTCTTTTCTTGCCTTGTACTTTGTCTTGAAACAATAAATGCTTTGAACTTAGGATCTTACTGTAAAGTGTCCCTCAGCACTAAATAAATATAGTCAGAAGAAACGAATACATTTGGGCTGCTTTGCAAGACTTTTAAACTGTCAGTAGGCTAAGTAGGTGATTACAAACAAAAGCAGAGCTCTCTTGAAGTTAAATGTTGCTTCAGATGTAAAACACAGAGTACTCGATATCTCAAGTACATAATATCAAGAATTACGATAAACTTGGGGGAATAAGCAGATCTCAAAAGAAAACGTTCCATAACACGTTTCCTGGCAAATATTTTGGCCAATTCTTTCCATTCTGACTCAGGGGAAACAGATATGCTGCAGAAATGCCAGTGGCTCCACACATTGAACAGGAGACAGGCACATTCCAAGATGCACTGCATTTGCTTGTAGACATCAAAATCAACAGTGAAGAGAAATAAAAAACTACTATTTGCATAGAGCTTTCCACCATCCAGACGCTTTCATCTGTACTCTCGAGTGCTCACTTCCATCTTGGGAGGAGCATCCATCCTTATCCTCATTTTACAAAAGAGAAGAGACACAAGCTCCATGTAGTTATTAAACAACTGTCCAAGGCCACTTGATACGTGATGAGGCTGGGCTGGAAGTTTGCTAGAAAAGTGCAGGATGAGCAGCTGCACTTACAAGTGCATAAAATAACTATGAGATCGATGAGTAACTGACGTAAACTCACCCTGCGTTCTGCCAAGTGTGGAAGTTATTCAACCACAGCTCACTCTAAGCACACATGGAGTTTATCTATAAACACATTTTTCATTATTAATCAAGTATTGGTTTTGTTGGCATCATTTTTCCAACAGAATTGCATGCAATAAAATACCCTTCACCACAAGGTTGAGCTTCACAAAGCTATCCTGAGAAAGGTCTTTTTGGAAAATACATTCTAGGGTTCCATCAATTTAACGCTGTCATCCTTCTCTTCAGAATGCCTGTCGTGTCATCGTCTTTATGTCAACTTTCCCCACTTCAACTGTTAAGTGTATAACTTGGTCAGGTCCTCGCTTGTCAATGATGCCATTATGATTTGCACAGTCCTCCAAGATAACCTTTAAGTGCATAAACATTTAGGGTTGCTCTGTCCTCTGGATGAATTGACACTTCATTATATGAAATGTCCCTCTTTATGCTTTGTCCCTGCTTAGATTCTGTGCTGTGCAATCTATTTTGTCTGATATTACTATAGCCACTCCAGCTCCCTTCTACTCCTGTTAGCACGATGCACTAGCTTCCCCATCCTTATGTGTCTTTATACTTAAAGAGGGCTTCTTGCAGACGGCGTATCGTTGCCTTTGCTTTTAATGGAAGTGTTTAGACTATTTATCTTTAACGTGACTGTGCATAAGAATGGGTTTCATCTACCATTTTTCTACTTGTTTTTCCACTTGTGCTTTGCTCCCTCTTCCCCTCTTTTTCCGCCTTCTTTTGTATTGAATATGTGCTTATTTCACTTTCATTCCTTTGCTGGCTTATTAGCCACAACTCTTTGTTGTGTTATTTTAGTGGTTGCTTTAGAATTTTAACACACCTCTGTGACCTAGCAGTCTACCTTCCGGTGACATCATACCACTTCTCATACAGTGAAGAATATCCCAGCAGCACACTTCCGGTTCCTCCCTCCACGCCTCTGTGCTATTGTTGTCATACTTTTTATTTCTACATGTTATAAACTCCACATACAGTGCTATTATTTTTGCATAAGCAGGCAATTATCTTTTAAAGAGACTTAACTAAGGAAAAAAGCCATTTTATATTGACCCATGTAATTACCATGTCTAGTACTATTGCAATGTCACTTCTAACATTATTAAATCCAGCAGTTTGGCAAGATTTACAATTTCACTTTGCAACTGTATTGTTAGATATTTGACCAAAAGCTCATGGTCAAGGTGGGCAGGAACAGCTGCAGCAGCTAACGGGGCTGCTGGGGGGGATGTTTTTAGTGAAAGCTGATTTTGTAAATGGCCAATTTACTAGTTAATCTAGTTAAGGCACGGCTGCTTTTACATCAAAATTGCAAAGACTCAACAGTCAATACTTGAATGATAACAATGTTTTATCATCTTTTCGCAGATTATCATCCATGTTAGCTGACACTTAGCCAAAAAGAAATCAGTGCAGCCATATGGTCCCCAGGTATGTACTGAGCCCCTGCTTTGGGCCATCCACCATTCTGAGCACTGAGGGAGCCACACTGAACGAGACACAATTAAGCAAGAAAGCCCCTGACTGCATGGAGCTGACAGTCTCCTGACACCTACCGAGCACCTCATG